TCAAAACTTTTCGACTTTAATCTCGAAACATTTCGACTTTAACATTTCGACATTTATCTCGAAACATTTTGACTTTGATCTCGAAATATTTCGACTTTAATCTCGAAATGCTAGATTTTTTAATTAATTTTTTTACAGATTTTTTTTTTTTTTTTTTTTACCACCCCAAAAGGTGGTAAAAAAAAAACTCCGACCCCAAAACCACCCCAAAGTCCCTAGTTCCTGGGGAAAGTTCCTGCGGTAGAAACGCGGCAAATGCAAATATCCCATGAGCACGATCATTAAAAATCATTGAAAATATAATGAAATTAAACAAATGAAATCTGTTTCTTCATTGTAATGATATGTGTTTTGCCTTTTCAGTACGGAGGAAGTTACAGAGTCCATACAGGCAGATGAGGGCTCATCCTCGTCGGGTCCTGAGAAGCTGCCCTCCTTCATATCTTTGTCCAGCTCTCCTGACATGTCAGAGAACCCTGATTCCCCAAAGATCCCTCCTGCGGCAGGCTTACAGGCCAAAGGTGTGTACTGTATTTGAACAGAAGGTTAGATTTAAATAATAATAACAATAACATACAGTAGATGAGATGCATACATTGTCACTACAAAGTATTTAAATACTTAAGCTACTTAATATACAAATATTATTGAAATAGTTAAGTGTATCCAAGTGGCACTTTAAAGAAAGATAGCAAATCATTCACAAACATAGGTTTATTGGGTTTTCGTTGAGAATTGTGTTAAAAAAGTATTTGGGCACATAGTGATGACAACTACACCTGTTGTTACCCTGCTTGGACACCTATGTGAAACTGAGAGGAAATTACTTCATACACCCACTAAACATTGGAGTTACTGGTCAAATAAAGTTAGCTCTATGAAAAGGTATTACATGATTTGTTTGTAGATGCCATTTGGATTGATGTTTGTTACTAATGCATTTAAATTGCATGAAGTGTGTGTGGGTGTGTGTGTGTGTGTGTCTCTTTTTTAATAGTCCTTTTTAAGCATGGCTTAAGTGTTCAAATACTTTTTGGTCTCACTGTATATATAAAGAGTAAGGAGGTAATAAATATTTCTGGAGTAAATAGTTATTTAATGCGCAGCGACAGGGTTAATAATATCGAGGGGGGTGATATTATTTAAGAGTGGACTACATGAGGTAAATAATACTTACAGAGGGGTTACTAATATTTAGGTTTGTTGTTAAGGACAGGCACAGCTGAAGCTGGTATGCCAGTCTGACTGATAGAGGATTAGAGGAAAGGGGCCCCTATATCCTCACACACACACACACACACACACACCAGCTGTACCCTGTGGAACACTGTCTTCCTCTCTTCACACTCAATAAGACAAACCTTATACACTGCCTTTAAGCAAACTCATGCAAGAAGAACTTCATTTTGTTTTCTCCTTTCCATGCTTTCACACTTCCTTTCTTGAATTAGTTACTGCAGAACAGAAACCACTGTGATTAACCTCTGACCTTGTGTGTTTTCACACGCATGGACGTTCTGAAGCATGGCATTGGCTCTTTCTCTTCTCTATATGTAAACATGTAAACGTTTAACTCCTGTTTGCTCTATTTTTGCTCTGTTTTTTTTAGCTCATGTTCATGCATCTTTGCTTTCTATTCTCAAAGCTTTCATGAGTGATGGCAAGTTTATTTCTCTGTCACGTCTGCATATTTATACAAATCTGTGCTTGTTGTGCATACACACTTCCTATTTCTCTGATGCCAAGTTCCAGATCAGTTCCCCACTGGGATCATTGATGACAGCCCTGTGTCTCAGAATAGCACAGGTGCCCACCAGACCACCATGGCCTTTCACATGTCACTTTCTCATCCTGTAGCCTGAAATCATCTGCTACATACTGTACAGACTGAACAGTTGCGTCTCTCAAAGGGAATTTGACTTTTCTGATTCAGTTCAACGATTCCTTAGTGGTTCTGTCAATATGCATCTTGGTCATTTTTAAGACGAAACCATGGATAATGTTTGGCAAACAATACTTTCTGCATTCCTTATCCTCAGAAGTATATGTTGTCAAATTGTTTTAGATTTCAACAAAACCATAATCGGATTCAACCCTTCAATTTGTTTAGTTTTTAAACAAACCAATAAGGCTTGACAAAGTTTACTTTTCTAATTAAATAAGTTTGAATTTGAATCATTCATTTCTTCGTTGATTTGAGTTTTTTTGTTGTGATCAGATTGTATTTGTAATTCATACCTCCTGTTTGCAGCCTCAATTTAAATACAGGAATTTAATTGGAATTTAAATCGCATTCTATTCTGAGGCAAACATCCGTGATCATTATGACAGCAGCTCTGATGCTTAAAGGGGTGGTTTACTGCTTTTTTTTCTTTGCATGATTGTGTTTATGGGGTGCAATATAACACGTATTCGTGGTTTTTCTTTTTTAAAAGTCTTAATTTTCATAAATTTCACCTTTATTGTAAGCCGCTTTCTCCTCTGTCATTTGAACAACTGGTTGACTTCCTGATTCTATGAAACCACTCCCTCAGAAACAGGCAATGGGCTCAGATTGGTTAGTTTGGGCCGGTGTGTTGTGATTGGCTAAACTGTAGTGCACATTGTCCGGGAACTTCACGCCCATTACCTTTACGGGCGAAGTTGCACGTGTTGTTCATGTCAAATGTAAATAATGGTGTCGATACTGCAGTATCAGTATGAGCCAGAATCAGACCCAAAAAGCGGCGATGAAGAGAGGCAAGCAGAACCTCACCACTCACGGCTCTTACAAAACATTTCTGAATGATAATTTGCCTAAATTATTTATTTATTTTTTTACTTTATTCATGTTTTACAGAATAGCATCGAACTGACTGGCTTCTATATACACAAACAGCTTTGGCACTGGTTTACGTTCCTGATCAAATCGAAAAGTAACGCCATAAAGTATATATAAATGAAAAATAGATTTACAAAATTAGTACATACATATTCAGGTCCAACATTTTTGTACGCGTTTGTCGTAGACACAAAATAGCATAACTAAGTGGATATAAAGCCGGCGCTGGCATTTGCTGGCAAAACTAAAACATTATGTCTGAAATTATACATGCAAATACATTTAAAATGAATAAGTCTTAGCCTAATTACAGGTTGTGGCCCAACAAATCCTGCCTCTAGTTTTAAAGTTGGAACTGCTTCATGTTTTATTTACAGTTTCTTGTTGAATCCAGAATTGAATTCGTGGAGATTCTGGAAGCTGTCTTTTGAAAAATGCGCAGCACAGAGAGCTACGATTGTAATTTTCAGGAACAAAATCAAACATAAATTGTATCCATTGTTGACGAACTACAACGCCCGCGGGAAGCTCGAACACAGAAGACCTGACAGCTGGGTGAAAATAACGCACTTTCGATGAGTCACATAAATATGGCCATGGCTTTTTTGCATATTCCGGAGGGAGGGTTGATGTAAATGTATGGGTTAATGACGTCTAAAACCCGTTGTAGTCCACATTTGAGTCATTTTTGTAGCCATTAAACTTCCTGATTTTTAAAAGACGATTCATTGAACTTTCAGCGCTGCAACTTTGCAGATACTGTTCATGCACCAACAGCAACATTACACACTATTTAACATTTTAACAATCTAACACACATATTACGTTTTCTATCTACATCGGCTGTAAACAGATGCTCCAGAACCAGTACTTAAACTGGAAGGCATTCAAATCATTTGTTTATGTGTGCGTGTGCATGCGTTTGTATGGGTCCAGGTAAATTCTACGTTATAGAATGCAAAATATCCCCACAAAGATGGCAATATATGAAATCCTTGTCCTTGTGGAGACATCTTTTGGTCTCTTATGAGCTTATAAATCATGTTTTTGAGATGTTTTTTGAAAATGTAAAAATGCAGAAAGGTTTCTGTGATGTTTAGAAATGGTATAAGCAGATAGAATATACAGCTTGTACATTATAAAAATCATTATGTCTGTGGAATGTCTCCATATAACATGATAACCCAACGTGTGTGTTTGTGTGTGTCTTGAACTCTTGATTCTCACCTATAGTGAGGTTCCAAGCCACACAGACTCGCACTAAGAGCAGTTAATTGTTACTAATGACTGTGTAGCTCTCACTCTAAAGATTGTGGCCTTCCAGACAAACTTCTCTCTGCTTTGCATAAATTAGCCCAGAATCTATGCATCACTGCCTGCATCTTCTCCTTTCCCCTTCGCTCTGTGTGCTATCACTCACCCTGAGACAATCACACACTCATGTGTCACTCCTCTATCAGTAAAAACAAGTGATAGCTACTCCTGTCATTACGTTGCAGGTGTTATTTATTTCTTGTCTGTCTCTTGTTTTTCCAAACAAGAAAACTTCACTTTTAGCATCAGTTACTGCTGTATAACCAAAAAGCAATCACAACTCACTCCCTTGAGTACATGAAATAAACTCTTACGTTATGGGTAACATGTTGTTTCTTTGTGGAAATGTTCTTCTCCTTTCTTCTCTCTGTCACAGGAAAGACACTGCATATCAAGCCACGGTTCTTGTCTTCAACACCAACAGAACCCTCGCCAAAGGAGGGCTAATGGTGGGTGTTTTAATCAGTAATGAATAATTCAACTTTTTTTTTTAACTTAACTTTTTTATTTTAGAAATAAGAAATTGACTCCGCCTCTCTTGAACAGTTTACAAAAACCTCTGTACATTAGACGTTCACAGCTATTTTTTGGTATCAAATCATCGTTTCAAGAATTCCAAGAATTGATTATATAGATTTCTTGGAATATGTGCGTAACTATTCACAATTACAGAATATATTCATTCTAATCAAATACTGTTCTGCAAAAAACTGGGTTTTTTTGCTGACGTTTACATTCGAAGAGAATGGAGTTAGTTTCGAAGTGTAAAGTTATTCTCAGGGGCTTTTAAAACGGCGTTTATGAAGTGGTTTGTTGTGCAAAGAATTAGTTTTATCATTTAGAATGTAAGCTTGTGAAAATGTATTTTCAAAGAATGGAAAACTACTTAATAAAATTGCTTTGTGATTCCTGCGAATTCATCTCTCTTTATTTGTGAGCATGTTTGCCTACTAAAATCATGACTAAAGAAGAAACGCTTCAGTTTAAAGTATTAAACTAAAGTATCATCGCACACCACTTCACTCCCATGTTGTTCTCTGAATAACAATGTTTAGCGTGAAAAGTATCGGTATATGTGTTGTAAAGCAGGTGTGTGTAAAGGACATCGCTCATGAGTGTGTCTGTCACTGTAATTGAGTCTTAAGGAATCTATTGGAAAAGAAGAAAAAAACGTAACGCCTCCCTTACACTCTTCAAAACTCATTTTTCTTCTCCTCTCACTTTTTCCTCTCTAACTGCTGTCTGACCAAATCCATCACAACTAATTTCTGACAACGTCATTTTCCTTTTCTTCTCCCTGTCTTGTCCTAAAATGTGCATTTGATTGAGGATCCGTTCTTAGATGAGCCTGCCTCTTGCACTCCTCCTCTCCCTCTTCTCCGTCGGGTAATGTAATTAGGATGTTGGGTGTTAAACAGTGGTACAGAGAGGATGATGGGAGCTGTAATCCCTTGAACGCCCCTCACTGTGCGGAGACTGCCGATATTAAGACTATTAATGCTCCGTTGAACCAGGGCCTCGTGCTCCGTGCTCTGTGACAAACGACTGGCGGTCGCGACGGGAAACCTGGTTAACCGTCGCCGGCAGCAACGACAGGGGGCATTAATACACCGTGGCGAGGGTCTCGCTGCGGAACACGACAAGCCTGCCGCCGTGTTAACGAGATAAAGGCTGCGCCCATGATGCGAGCCACGTTTACGATGACATCGAGAGATGGTGGGAAGGATAACACTCCTTCATTTGACTTCTCTGTCTATCTTTCTCCCCTGTTTAATCGTTCATGCAGGGAGGAATACTTCACAAGAATGTATGTTGATATGGGTGTTGTGAAATCAACTAAAGTTCTCATACATCATCCAACCTCGAATTTATCTTTTTTGCATTGCAGCTCTTGGTTTTAGATTTTTTGTTTGTTTGTTTGTTTGTTTGTTTTTCTTTTAAAGGAATGTCCTGTGTCCAATACAGGTTAAAGGGTTTACCCAAAAATTTAAATTCTGTCTGATCGTTTCAACCTAAATGAGTTTCTTTGGTCTGTGTGCACAACAGGTATTTTGTTTAAATAACATAAAATAACTGATATATTGATACATTTTGGTTTCTGGTCCCCATTTTCTTTTGTATTTTTTCCCTACTATGGAAGGCAATGGAGACCAGCAACTGTTTGATTACCAACATTGTCAGAATATCTTCTTTTGTGTTCAACAGAACAAATTGTCTCAGGTTTAGAACAAGTAAGTGATGACAGAATTTCAGAATTTTTTATTTTTGGGTGAACTATCCCTTTAACCTAAAATGACTTGGCATAAAGTTGATTACTATATATATATATATATATATATATATATATATATATAGTAATCAACTTTATGCCAAAAATATATATATATATATATATAATTTTTCTTTTTAATCTCCTTTTCATGGAAAAAAGTGACACTTATATTAGAAGTGCATGGGGTAAACGCTCTGTTTAAAAAAAGGTTTCTTTAAATTAAGTGCAATCAATGTAAATGTTTGTCATTTCAACTTAAATTATTTTTTTTTAAATGAGTTGAATCTTGTACAACTCTTGTATAACTTAAAATTCATTTATTTTGATGAGTTAAAGCAATGTAAAAACATGATATCTTACTTATTGATCATATAATGTTTTACAAGTGTGTTTAAACTTTAAAATGCTCACTGTTTTTTTAAAAAAAATATAGCCACAAGATGTAAACAATATGCATGTTACATGGTTTAAGTTTGATTTTCTCACTTACTAACCATAGCTGTGTAAAGTTAAATCCAGTTTTACAACTTTGTTGTCTAAATGTAATTCATAAAACACTAAAATAATCATTAAAATGTCAATTTAAACAACTGTATAACTCAAATAATACATGTTTAAACACAGAGTTTCATGTAATGCTTTTATAAAATAAGCTTCACATTTGTAAGTGCCTCAATGTAAGCTTTTTTAATAAATAAAACAAAGGACAAAGTACTTTGCATCCATTAAAGTTTCTCAAATAATTCAATGTTATTTTTTCTTCTTTATTCGTTCAATCAATGAGATTCCTGATGAGTCTTAATTATGAAAAATATTCATTAACCTTCATTTAGATCACATTTCACCACATTGAATGAAATGGACAGACTTAGAACTTTTGTTAAGTAAAGTCATAACCCTATAGATGCCAAACGATAGGTTGCTTTAACTTAATACTTTTGTACAGGAGGGCGTCCAGGAAAAGATTATGCGTATTCATGATGCTCTTTAACTATGGTCTCATACCAGTTTCTGTTATCTGCATGGGAAGAGAAAGAGAAATTCATGGAGCAATCACTCTTTCTTTTCTCACCCTCCCTTTCCCTCTCGTTCCCTCGCTCTGACGGCGAGGATGTAAGTGCCTTAGACAGATGTCTGCTGCCGCTTGTCTCAAAGCTCAACGCGAGCTGCTGAGCTCGGCAAACTCTAATTAAGATCAATATTTCAATTTTTAGTAAAAGCGCATGTGAAAGAGAATGAGGAGGGGAGTGAGAGGGAAAGAAGGAAAACACATTCACATTTTTCCGACGACAATCTCACTTGAATGAGAAAAAAGGAAAGAATGAAAAGGTCAAGTGTAATTTTTCTCTACCTCAATAGATCGCCTATAGGCATAAAAAAGACAAACTTGTTACAGCTCAGCAAAGAGTTCAACCCATCAATAAAGATCATACTTCCACTGCAAGAAGTCATTAGTATAACTGTCTTCTGTCCCTTTTTTTCATACTGCTCGCTTTCTCCCATCTTTCTGTTTGGGCTTCATTTCTGTTTACCTTTTTGCCGGGTTTTTTTTATTATTTTTGTCTTCTTCCATTGCTAAAGCTCCAAGTTGTGGTACATTTTTTTGGGGTGGGAGGGGGGGTTTACTTGAAGGAATTCATCAAATGGTCCTTCTTTTTTCTTCTCTTTAAAGTCACCATGAAATCAAAATGGGCAATTCTTGTTTTACTTTTTCCTCTTGCAAAGATATCTCTTCTCTGCTGACATGTTTACGGGCGCAAGGGCAGGACGACCTGTCACTTACATGACATCACATCAATAGCAAATGATCCAATCAATTCCTGATGAACAAAATCAAGTGCATTTTTTTTTTCTTTTTGAGAAGCTGTTTCACTCAGATGTATCACTATAAGAAAGATAAGACTATTGCATCTTCTGTTTCATGCCACGTCATCACTTAACATGCTCTTTTCTGTCCTCTAGCTCTCTCTAACTCACTTTTTTTTTTTTTTGCTGAGAACTTCAGAGAAGTTTGTATACTTGTTTGTTTGAATGTAGTCAAATGATTACTGCTGAGTCTTTGAATGGGCATTTGTGAGATTTTGAGGCCTACAAAAACCTCCTTTCCAAACCTGCTTCCGATAACCCCTACTCCACCTCGCACCTCTCAACTATTTTGGCTAAAGACGGGTTAACCAGACAAATCCGTCTCAGTCGTTTTCGCACATATCTAGTCAAAAACCCCCTTCTCTCTTTCAAACTATCATACTCTTTCTCCTTGGACGTGCTGATGTCCATTTTGCTTAAATCGGTAGAACTGCACAAGCAGCTAACTCCCAATATGCAAAGGCACAATGAAAGCCCTGACTTCAAAATTTATGTCTCAAGCCCTCGGCCACATCCACACCCACCCCATCTCCGCTCACTTGAATGGACGATGGCAGATCTTCTTAAATGTGGCATTTTCAAAGCGGACTGCTTAGCTTGGACTTTGGGGTCCACTCATGCTTATTTGATAAAACCCCCATAATGACTTAGCGCACCTTAAACTTCAAATACCTTGATATGATTTGTCCCGTCCTCTTAGCCCCATCCCCACCACCCCCCACACTTTTCTTTTTTCCTTCCGTTGGCAGATTTGAGCCTCAAGCGTGTCTGTATTTCACTCATTGGCACCCGGAAAGAAAGTCTTACCATGTCACATAAAGTTAGCAAAGGTCTCAGATGTAGTAAGAAGCAAGTTATGCAGCAGATTTCAGTATTGATACTTACATGTATAATTATGTATTTAATTATGTAATTATTACAATTTTAAAAAAGTATTGAATGTGGTCATAAAAAGTGAATTGTGGTTTTGGCAGTTCAATGCAATTCACTGTAAGTAAATGATAAGACAATTTGTTTTTACTTCCAAAAAAGAATAAATTTAACCGTATTTTACTGAGAAATTATAAGAAATAGGGTTACATCTATTACAGTTTCCCAGTACTAAGAGAACTTGCTGTTAAACAGTTAACTGGGTTTTACTGTAGCGTTTTTACAATCTTTTACAGTTAAAATTGGATTCTTTAATTATTTATTTATGTATTTACAGACCTGTCAAATACATAAAGTTATTAAGTCTACTCATTATGATTTTTCTATCTCTCTTATCTGCCTCTCCTATCAGATATTGATCCATATTCCATGGCATACACTGCAATAAGGAGCTGGCCTCGCATATAGTGTTAGACTGACCCTCATCTTTGGGTAGCTACTTCCTTCATCAGAGGACTGGCTCCTCTGATTAAGACATATGCTGTGGTGATGAAGGCGCGCGCTGCGTGGGGCTTAATTATTTGTCGATCCGCGCAGATGAGTCGAGATGCAATTAGAGGTTAATTGCGAAAGAAATCCGGAGCGTGGCTGGCACTGGCGTGGCGGATCATAATTAACTCACCCGCACAAATTGCGCATTTTTTCCCTATCCGGCGGAAATGTGGATTGATTTTATTGCTGGATCACGCGTTATTGAGTTCATCACCGCCTATAGGTCATAAGCGGGGAGGAAAGTTGCGTGTGTGTTATCCTATCAGATCAATACACTGAATGACTGCTCAGGGTTACGGCACATCGAGGAGGAAATATGCAGTTTAATACATAATTATCTAATCAATTTAACTTTAAACGGTCTGTCAAAACACACTGGGGATTTTTTATATAATTGTTGTGATATCTCTCCTGGATTCTGAACGATATGGTTGGTTTTAATATAAATAAATTATTGTTAAAAAAAATAATTATTGTAAAAAGAAAGGCTACGATGATGTGTGAAATAGTTAATTAGTTAGGCCTACTTATAGTTAAAAGCACATTTAAATTATTTAAAATGATAAAATAAATTAGCAAGCGAGGTTATGACTTTCCTTCCTAACATGTCTATTAATTTTCTTCTGATTGTAAGATATTGCTCATAAGACACTCATGACTTTTAGTTTTGGAATGAAAAGTTGAACTTTTTAAATCAATGTAGGCTAAATATTTCGTAATTTAATTAGCCTGGCGACAATAAATGTATTTCTGTCTAAATTAATTTCAAATATTAAATGTAGGCTAATTATAGATATTGTTCATGCAATCCGTTTTATGAATGTGTTTTTAAGTCATCTCTAAAACATTTGTGTTGATAACGTCTAAGAAGCGTTTGCTCCTTTCTAAATAAACATTTTCTAAGTAAGACGAGCTGGGCTATCGGCTATTGCCTTTCCTCGCGCTCACCTTCAGCATGCGTTTGCAGGAGAGATGTCGCTAGGGGGCGTGAAAAACACCTGTTTACGCGCGCTCTCAGCTGCTGCGCGTTCGCCTCAGCTGCCACATAGAGGCGTTGCTGTATGCATGTCTACTGCTGCGCCTCCTCCCATTGGTCCGTTCCGTTCTCTGGGTTGGACGCTCAGATGGGCCATGTGTATAAAGTGGTACATTGCCCCTTTCAGTGCTTCAGTGATACTGCGTGCCAGCGGTGGACAACAGTGCAAAAAATAAGCTTAAGCCGTAAACGTAAAGCAACAGTGACAGCAGTCCATATATCTTCAAAACAGACCACGGAAGGAGGTAAATTGTGTACCAAAATTCTCTATCCTTCTTCGGGCTGCGCTGGAGCGTCCCACAAGAGGAACTTACTCTGAGATTTGTCACACATTGTTACGGTCCGCGTTTGCTAGTGACTGTGTAAAAAGCGACAGCAGCAGCATCATTCTTGTGGACTTCCAGGCAAAGTCTGACGAATTCTGAACTTGACGCGCGCGCGTGTTGTGTGGCGGACTATTCTCGAAATGTGAGGAAAGTTTTCGCTTTCTTCCCATGAATGCTTAAAACTTTATTGCCTCCAGTTAGAGGGCACTTAAAAACGGAGGTGAAGAAGGATATTTGAAGTCTCTGATACTCAAAGGACGATTTATCTGCTTTGTGAAGCGAGGACGAGTCAGGTTGGTGATTTTGAATTCACGAGTCTCAAGTTTCTGCCGCCCTGGCCAGTGATATTAACGTGTGAATTTGACCTGGGATAAGTTGTCAACAAGAAGCAAACTGGCTGGTGTGTGCGTACATTTACATGCATGGACATACGTACACCTATAAATAGAAGCTCGTGCCTATGTATTAAATCCTGGCCACTCATCTCCATCATTCACCTTCATCATAATCCCAGTGAAACCCACGGGTGTCGCTTTGGCTGTTAGGGTAGGTGTCGCATGGACTGACATGGCCACCGATCTCGCCATGAGCGCAGATTTGCCCAACAGCCCTTTGGCTATTGAATATGTCAACGACTTCGACCTCATGAAGTTTGAGGTCAAGAAAGAGCCCCCGGAGGCCGACCGCTATTGCCATCGCCTGCCTCCGGGCTCGCTGTCCTCCACCCCTATCAGCACGCCCTGCTCCTCGGTGCCTTCCTCGCCCAGCTTCTGTGCCCCCAGTCCCGGATCTCAGCCTGGGCAGAACCTCATAAATGGTGTTAACAACAACAACAACAATGGAAACAACAACAACACCCAAGGCTCCTCGGGCAAGCCGCAGCTGGACGATCTCTACTGGATTCCCAACTATCAGCATCACATAAGTCCAGAGGCCCTCAACCTGACGCCCGAGGACGCAGTGGAAGCACTCATCGGTAATGCGCACCACCATCATCACCACCACCAGCCCTACGAGGGATTCCGCGGTCAGCAGTACGTCGGAGAAGACCTCTCGGCACCCACGAACGGTCACCACCACCCTGTGCACCACCACCACCATCATCACCACGGCCACCACGCGCACGCGCGCATCGAGGACCGCTTCTCGGACGAGCAGCTGGTGAGCATGACAGTGCGCGAGCTTAACCGGCAGCTAAGAGGCTTCAGCAAAGAAGAGGTGATCCGCCTCAAGCAGAAACGGCGAACCCTGAAGAACCGCGGCTACGCGCAGTCGTGCCGCTACAAGCGCGTCCAGCAGCGTCACATGCTCGAAAGCGAAAAGTGCACGCTCCAGAGCCAGGTGGAGCAACTCAAGCAAGACGTGTCGCGTCTCATGAAAGAGCGGGACCTGTACAAGGAGAAGTACGAGAAGCTCGCGAGCCGAACCTTTAACGGCGGCGGCGGTGGCAACGGAGGCAACTCTCGAGACCCGTCCAACGGCACTCACGGCAAAACCACTTCCACGGAATTCTTCATGTGAGAGTGATTCTTGTTAAAGACTTTTTCCCACACCAACGTATTCGTTTTTTTAAACCTTACATTTTTTATGATTTTCAGTGTGAATCTTATTTTCCGTTTTTTTGTTTCTTAAATAGCCTACCCAATGTCCGTTCTAGAACATACACTCATGAAAATAAAGGTTTTACAGTCTGAGGCCATATGAGAACCTTTTTAAATTCCACAAATAGCCTACATGTTTTATTTAGAAAAACATCTAGCTATGTGCTGGTGCTTTAAAGAACCAAAATCTGGAAATGTAGGCCTAACAAACTTTTCCTTCTCCAAAGAACTACACACTTTTTGCAGCCAAAATGGTTAATGATAAGAAGGTCAAGTCCTTTGCTGAACTTAAAGTCCTGAAAAGAAACACTGAAGAACCTTTAATTTTAAGAGCCTAACATTACAAAACCGTATTTAAAGTTTTCACCCATTGTTTGTGTATAACTGCACCATAAAAGTCTTAAGGTTAGTGTGATGTTAGGATTATCTTCCACAGATACTGCACGGACCCTTCTACTTCATAAAACCTCCGATCTAAACATGGGATCACTCATAACCTCCAAAGACCCATCAGTTTTGGATTCTGTAAAGTCGTATTTTTCCTTTGTCTTTTTAGTAATAGGCTAACTGCAAAGTCCAACATGTTTATAGACATACATCCGCTTCCTTAATATTCTTTTTCTTGTCTTAACGGATTGACGAGTCTTAATGGCGATGAGAAAATACTGGAAACGAAACTTCAGCTTGTGAAGGAACTTTGAAAGGAACAATAATGCTAATAAAACACTTGTAAGCAAGAAAGGGGAGATAGCAATACATCCTTGACTTTCTCTGTCATGAACTGAGGTTGAGCGGGCTTGTGAACTTTGAAGGCCCTCAATCATTGCTCATGTCTGCATTACTAATCCTGCATGCGGGACATGTATGGTATCCAAACGCGCCAGGTCCTTTCTCTCTTTTCCCCATACAGCACTTGGATGAAAAGCATGGCCCTTAACCACTCTCTCTTCTCTCATTTTTTTTCTTTCGTTTCTTCTGTTCGACACGGACCTCATGCGTACCTGAGAAATCACATGAAATCAGTCTTTACATTTTTTTTTTCTATTGTTTTAAAAGTAGTCTACAGAATAAGAACAAAAAACCGAACTGAGCCAGAGTTATTTATTACCAGCTTGTACATATGTAGAGGTCGATTGGTGTGTTAATTTAACTTTCTTTTTAAAGTCCTTTTTGCTTGATTATTTAAAACGTCTTAATACGATGTTTGTATGTAGTAGCATGCAAATGACAAAGATAATCTCATTCTATTGAATATGTACAATTTCAAAGGAAGCCTACTGCACTACGATTCAAAGAATTGGGATTTATAACATTTCTTTTCCTCTGTGTTAATCAAATTGATGTTATGGTGGACATAGTCGATCGTCGAAAGTGCATAAACACAAGGACTTTAATTGCTGCTAATATTCTATGCACCAAATTCGAAAGCAATTAACAGAAGCTCTGATTATGTGAATTTTGTACTTCAAAATAAATGAAGTTATATGTAGAAAACTGGTTAGACTTTAAATATCATCTCCTGAACAAAGTTTTATTTTCTTTCTTTTTTTCTCTGAATGGCCGAGATGATAAACGACAAAAATATTAACTTTAATTTTTTTTTTTTTGGTTTGTTTTTTTACTTCTTATGACATAATAAAACTGTAGCATATGCTGTATAAAGCAATTGCCTACTGTTTTGCATTGCAACATTGTGGTGGTGATGATAATAGGCTTCCGACCCTTACACTACAGGTAGATTAAATGCTGAAATAATTCAAAAATAAAAGAGAGACTTGTGTGCAAAATTGGCGAAAAGTAATCGTGCGCATTTGATCGTGATCATTTGAGATTGAAATATAGCTCATCTTGTTGCCAAAGTGGATTATCTAATGCACGTAAATTATCAGTTTTCAAATTCTTTCCGACCCGTGTATGCTTAGTTCCCTAACAAATCTATCGACCAGACTCCAAAAATAATGTCTTCAAGTATGCTCCTCTACCTGGGTTAGTATCTGCTTGATATTCTCACATGAAAACCACTGTTAACATTTATTTAATTTGGGGATAAATTATGAATTATGATGAAGTTCGCCTCTCTGTCTATTGGTCTAATTTGAGACACAGCGATTTGAGGTTACATAACCACATGTGCTGTCCTGTGTGCTGTCTTATGTAAACAAATAAATAATAAAATGGAGGGAAAAAAGAAGAACTGTACATAGCCTATAATTTCTATATATTTATCGAAAATATAAATGTCCTTACGTGTCAGTAAGTCCAAACCAAAATGTTTCGAAATGGAATGTTGTTCAGAATCTTGTTTTCATAATGTTTAATAAAAACTTCTGTCAAATGTTTCAGCCTGTTTCCCACTTACTCAACAAGTGTCTTTTCAAAGATAAAATATGTGATCTATGCAAGTGTTATAAAGATTTCACAGTCTATACGCTTAAAAAATATCGGGTAAAGAAATAAAAATAACAACAATGCACGAAATAACGAAACAAAACACACGTTGTCCGGGGCTCAGCAAATTAGGCATGTTGAAAAGTAAATAGCGCAATTTCAAATGTTCAACTATTGTTATTATGTTTGTTTACGGTAAAGAAATGAATTAATTTCAATAATTTATTATAATTCTATGATCTATGATGAAGGCTTAATACTTTTTATGCGGTATAGAGATATATTTAAGTGTACAAATGCTTACAACGTGAAATTCGTTTATGATATTAAAGCGTTTTTTTACACAAATGTTTAATTAGCCTATTATTTAAAAGATTAAATCACATTTTCCTCTTTTTCTTCTTCTTCTTCTTCTTATTATTATATTGCTCGCAAACTTCGCATAATTGGAGCAGAAGTATTTCATGTTGGGTGGCACTAAATGTTCATCTTTTAATCAGGGTTAATTAAAAGTTTGTGTGGTATTGGTCGCAATCAATTTTTACCTCACCCGAGTAATAATAATAAGGCGAAAATTATGAAATTATGATCAAATACATTTTCAAAATGGCAAACGTTATAGGCTACTCTCATTTTCTGTGGAGCGCGATTTACTGTTTCAGTTTATCCAGACCTCGCCAAACTATTCTTCAGCAAAGTAATCTTCCTGTTCGTTTTCTCCTCACTCCCAATGATGCTAAACCAAATGTTTCTTAATTGATATTATTATATTAGAATGAACAGTTTTGTAAAACTAAATAATTTAAAACTAAACAAGATTGACGTGATTAACGTGAGAGTCTATTCTACAGCCTTTCGGTGGCTGAACTTTAGTTTTTTTTTTTTTTTTTTTTTTTTTTTTTGTGTGTGTTCTGACCTCTGCACTTGTTATATCAAAGGCTAAACTGAATGCGTGTCACTTAACCTCTTTTGCTTGTGGCAGTTTTTTTTTTTTTTTAGTTTTTTTTTATCACTGGTTGTGTCAGAGGCGACAGTTTTAGAGGTTCGGATGAGTTCAAATTCATTATATGCGTGTATTGGAAAGATCTTTATAATGTTAATATTGGTTCTTTCTTTTTTTAACATCATGTGCATGAAAATCTACAAAGCACTGTGCCCATCACACTTGTAGGCTTTCTGCTCTCCCTTCTTTTAAAGAACTATCAATTCGCCCTGATGAAAAAGCAAAGTGAATGTTTTCAAATTTGAGGGGGAGTGTTTCATTGTTTAATCATAATATCAAGTATGACATATTCATTGGCATTTAGAAGCCCAGTGGAAGTTCATTAATTATGTTTCAGTGGGTGAAATGCATTACTTGCTCTCCATCATACCTGCCTGCCACTTATGAGCTATTTCAACCAGCATATTAAGATTAATGGAAATCCCAAATGTTCTGAATTTTTTACACAGTGCTGTAACTTAAATGTCAGTATAAATCTTTTTCAGAGTTGCTCTGCCCCTTCCCTGTTCTCTGTCCACTGTCATTTGTCATTTTTACAATAATTCGTCCTTTTTTTTTTAATCCATCAAGGTTATTTTGGAGATAATGAAACCTGCTTCTTGAATGGTGTGACTTGGTTGGTCTAGTTTGATGCAGTTTAGTGAATTTAAAGTAAACCAAGGGGAAACTCTGGGGTGGCATCTCTCTCTGTGAGACTCATTCACCATCCCGATTGTGTGTGGTTTTTTTATGTGCATTTGTATGTCTGTAAAAAACAGACAAAATGTAGCAGATCTTTGACGGGCCAAAGAAAGCTAAGAGGTTCTCTGAAGAGGGTTTTCTGGAATATTTGCCCAAACAGGAATAGTCACTTAGAATTTCAATTGATTAAAACAAAACATGTCATTTATAACGTGCAAATATAAAACTATAGATGCAGTTTTATATGCTGTATTTGAATAGAGGACAGTGTGCCATTTTTCCCTCAAGCATCCAGAAGTCTCAGCATGGTTAGACACTTGACTATTTTATATCTTTGGACAGTGCAGCCAAGGGGGAGCATTTTTTGTTTGCCACTGTCTTTTTGTGAAGGTTTACTGTATAACTGACATTTATACTCTTCTTACTTTTTACTATTAAGAGTAGAAGACTGGAGGGCCTGCGTGTATCTTTCTCAAACAGAAATTCAGCCTGCTTGACATGAGTTGCTAAACATGACATTTGTCATGTTTCCTTGTTATGCACACAACAGGCCACGTTTGGTTGGAGCAAGAGGTGGTCACTGAGATGCTGTCTGTCCTTGTTCAGTTCGGAAGCATCCAGACTGAATCTCAGTCTCAGTGTGCTCTCTCAAGCCCACCCCATCCCCCACACTTCCTCTCATTTCTGCTGTGTCAGAGGAGACAATGTGTGTGACAGCCATCACTTTATCCAAACATGGACCTGACTGACACTCACACTGTTTTTGTTTTAATATATTAGCATGTGTATTTATTTGAATTTATTCATTATAATGGCTTAATTGAATTTGAATAGTGTGAATGATGACAATACTTATTGTTTCTTTAATGCCCTTTTCCTCCTTTTTTTCTCTCTCTGCGACAGTGCATTCAATATGAATGTATTGTGCCAAAAGGCACACATTTGATCTTGCACGTTGGTAACCGTAGGCCAAGGTGCATTTAATAAAGCGATGAGAAGAGATGGAGGCAAGTAGGAAGTGAGAGTGAGAGGAAGGTAGTGAGTTCTTTGGCGTCTAGGCTGCATTGCCGATGAGATTCCCCTGTAGTCAGCGTCTCTATAAGGCTCAGCTTACAAGAGAGGCAGACGCACGTTCACACACACTCACTTCACAATGCACTTCACACATCATGGAGGCACTTTGGAAATTGTGTTTAGCCTACACTTGACTACTTGAATAAACGACATTTTATAGGCCTACGTGGGCCTATGATAATCTAAGAAAAATGCCGTCATACAAAATATTGGTTGTCAAAAAGAAAACAAAATTAACAATTGGATTCATAATGGTCATTTTCGTCAGATTGCAATAAATGCCTCGCCTCTAGAGGTCTGTACGCTGGCCACGTTTATTGGACGTGTTTGAAATCATAGACACAAAATGTCGCAACCCCCAAAATATATCGACAGCTTGATGAATCGCCTATGAAGCTCTATTAACGCTTAGCAGGTATTAATAATTATTTAGAACGCTCTCAGGATTGAATTAGTGACCCAGGGCGCACACCGTGCGCGAACCCCCAAACGCCGACAAACTCATTACTGCGGAACGGCTCCCTCCACACAGCGAGCGGAGCCACGGCGCTGCACCGACCCGCTGAAAAAAAGCAATTTACAGATGGTGAGTGAGCGACCCTTCGCCGCTGCACAACCGGCTGTCACACACACACAAACGCGCGCTGACACGCTGTGTGCTGAATAGACAAAGCGAAAAAACATGCTATCACAGGGAGAAAATCTGCAACGCAAGCGATTTTTTCCCTCAGTTTTTTCGTGCACCCGAAAATAAACAAATAAATAAACAAACAAACAGACAAACAAATGGCTCCTAATGTCGAACCGTGCCTGATTATGAAAACGGAGCGATGAAATACCATAAGATTTGAATTTTTCAGACTTTGCAACTCTACCAATTACTGTGTGGAAAGACCTCCTGTCAATCTCAACTTGACAGCCATACACTGAGCACGTGGAACTCCCTCTGGCTTTGGGTGAGGTGAACATTGGGGCCTTGCAGAAAAAAAAAGTTTTTTTCTCTCTCTCTTGTCGGGCATATGGAAATATGTTGGCTCTGAATGTCTCATTTCATGAAAAAAAATAATAATAAAATAAACAGTTAATAAGCAGACATAAATAGGCAGAATTAAAATGACAAAATGACAATAAACTCGAAACGTGCTAAATGCTAAATGACAATAAACCCTAAACGTGAGGCTGCCCATAAGATGCTTAAATTCAAGACATGGTTTGAGAAGTTTGGTGCTCATCTGAGTGGGGTTGGCTTAAATAACAGAAGTTAAATAACATCATATACAGCTAGGTATTTAGCCCTAATACACTGAACACCAATACCTAAACTGAGGGATGTATAGATTACAGTTTAAATGTTATCTATTACATTAGCCTACATTTTCACCAAATATTCTATAAAGTCATATATTCAAAGCTGCATCAGCTGAAAGATCGACACCCTGGTACACAACAGTGCACCATATCCTTAACGGAAAAAAAAAAAAAAAAAATATTGGCATCATCTACTTTGATAGAGACAGTCTATTTAATCGGGACAACAGAGGTCCCATATGGCACCTCTCTTTTCTTGATTTATTGACCCCCCTCAGTGGTCTCTGTAAATAAAATGGTGCAAAAAAGCCAATAAACTGTTAATATTATGTTGGCTCATGGCTCAAAAAACCAATATAAATAAAGTAAACTGAAGCATTGTAGGTAACAGTCTTTAAAATAAGGTTTAATTTGTTAACATAAGTAATTATAACATGAGCAATAAACAATACATATACAACATTTATTAATCTTAAAGGTAAACTGTAAAAATGTATATGATCAATAAGTTATGACAACATGTTTTACATTGCTTTAACTCATTAAATGAAGTTAAGCATTTTTCAACTTTTTGTTATACAAGACTCAACTCATTTTTTTAAGTCAGTTCAATGTAATTCAAATTGAAATTACTTAAACAGCAATTTAAGGCAGAAACTTATTTAAAATCGAAAGTGAATCTGTTGTTAATGCACTGGGAACTAATATGAACAATCGATGAATAATTGTATTTTTGCGAACTAGGACCTACAAAACGTAACTATGAGCAAAATATATTGTTCAACTAATGCGTTAACTGTTTACAAATAAGTATAACGTGTAACTGGTGTCTTTTCCAAATATAAAATGTGTCAATATTATTTTTTCTACTTATTTGGAGAGAAAGTG